ACATCTTGTGTCAGCAAACTTTTGAAGTTAATTTTGTATGGTATTATATTTATATAATAATTAGTATTGTTTGAACACCGATAGAGAAACTAAGGATTAGTCCTTAAACTCCCACCCTGGAATTCAACTTGTTCTTCTTCCTGTTCAATGTTTAATAACATTTAAGGCAGTTATTTAACAACTTATGAACAGGAAGATTGTAAATATAGTGCAGCAATATGTATTAAAAGATTACTAAACTGAAAGGAGTTAAATGGATTAGCAAAACCAACTGATAAAAATTAGACCAAGGTTATACATTTTGTAGCATTTTAAAAAGATTAATCTTTACAACTAATCCCTTTTGTAATAAAAACAATTCTAAAATTTTGGAGTGTACATTAAGATTATTAAATATGTTTTAAGTGGAACCGATGCTTAATTATAAATTGGTCAAGTTTTAATTAGAAGAATGAAGACTTTATAAAAAATTAGTGGAGATTAAATTTGAAATTAATATCATCATTTATGTTTAGCTCTTGTTCATCCTCAATAAAATTAATAGCAAATGATTGTACATAAATGCTTGCTTACCACAGCTGCATTTAAATGACGAAGAGCCATGCGCAAGGATGTCCTTAAACAGGTTGGTGGAGTCCACCAAATTTTCGGTGGTGGTGTGCCTTTCATGTTTACATGTTTTAGAACCTTGAAAAGACATTAACTGTATAAGTAAAATAAACAAATTGCAAAATTGCACTATGTCAATGATACTGTTACAAAGCAGTTTAAATGAAATAAGTGATAATACATTATAACCTAACGTGTCTAATATTTGTCAAGCAAAGTAAATAATAAGTAGAATAAATAAATGCTTACTAATCCAACTTTCTGTCTTATATTGGCCTGCTCTGCTGTCCATTCTGAGAAGCGTTGTGGTTCAGATGTTCCATTAAAAACGATTGCTAATTCAATATTTCCTCTTTCTATTGCTTGCATAAGTAATGATAAAAATTGAACCATTCGATTCCACTGGCCACCACAGGCCCAATCTAACAACACACACTTTATTTTAGTAACACCAACACTACCGAAACCACTTGAATCAATGACTTACCAGAGAAGAATCCACCATAAAGTCTATCTAAACAACATTCTGCATCCATGATAAGCTTAAGTTTGTTACCAATAGGCCTAATTTTACGGGTAGGGTACTGGGGTTGTTGACGTTGCGTGACATTTCGGGCTATTTTCAACAAATCAACAGAAACTGCACCCCCTTCTAAATTTGGGCTTTCTAAAAACGCTTGCAAATCTTGGATAACCATTTTAGCAATACGACTTGGAACAAAAAATAAATTTCTTCAGTATGAGCTAAATCTGAAACAATGAACGACCGTTGCCGAAAATCAATTGATTACAATAAAAAGCAAAATACAAGGCAATCGAAAAACCGGTCGCCATCATGGCCACACTAACTAAAACACAATCACCACAAACTAAAAGAGAAACCTTTGAACCAACTGAATTGTCATTCACTTTAAAATACTCGCCGTAATTATATCTAACAAGCGTCCATTACATCTTCGTTGTAATTCTAATTACGGTTAATAAAAAGAAGATCGACGTGACGGACGCTCCCCAGCACGCCTTTTAATACCGGTATCGTCCATGTTAACGATTCTAACGTTCGTAAATATAACGACAACTGATAAGTTTACGTTATTTGATTAACCTTAAGTTTCCATATAATCGTGTTTGTTAAATACTTACAAACCAATTTAAAAACTGCATCTTGAGTATGCACGAACAAAAACTTTACCGGAAGAACTTGAAGACACAACACAACATCGAGCGCATGACGGAAGCTGCTTTTATTTGTTTAATTTTAAATTATACCGCCAACGTTTGTTCCCGCCTCTTTTTAAATTTGTGGGAAAATTAAATACTTACGCAACTTATTCCTATTCTCTCCTTCATAAAAACGTTAACGTTATTACATGACATATTTTTTAAACATTTGAAAAACATCATTTCGATACGTCTACGTACATACGTACCAGTTCACAAATATATCTGACCCCAGTGCATAATATTTATTAATTAAAAATATCTTATTACAATAGCAATATTCAAATCAAATTTCAATAACAAACAATAAGATCTCTTTATTGCAAGTTAAAATTTGTTTCATCAAAATATTAAAACTAAGTTAGTAACAGTGATGGATATTTTGAAACTTAAATATATACTTAAAAGAAAGTTTTTTCACTTTTAGAAATTTGAAAGGGTTATCAGAATGATTAGCATAATCTAGTCTTCTTGAAAATAATATAAACATTATTACTATTATTTAAAAAATAAAAGGAAAGAAATAATTACAATAACAATCGTTCAACTACTATATACGTGGTAATTGTTTAACAATGATGGTAGCAACAAATATATGCTATATAAATTACTTGTAGGTAAGTAGCTAAAAAATGAATTATTAATGCGATGCAGTAGTCCCACGTCGTATTAGTTATTAATAGTAATCTGGGATAAAAAATGCCCAGTCATTTTGAAAATGACGTCATGGGGATAAATACGAGATAAAGAGTCGTGCAGTAAGCAATTGGCTTAATTTACAGAATAATGAAACAACATTTTATCATTTAGAATGCAGGACCGTTCGCATAAATAGATGTACACCAACTCCGGCGTTCGCAGTGTTAATTGTGGTTTAGTTCTGTAGGTTCTGTATAGTGTATAGTAGTAGATTAATCGCTTTTTAATACCGGTATCAGTATTTATTGAAAGCTATTTTCATATTGCCTTATATGTAATAAGGGAAAAGTTCGCAGGCGAGCCCTTTCCACAATTTATTTTGAAAATTTTTTAGGTAAGTATTGTACTTTAAGTGCATGTTAATTGTCAGCATTTAATTTATAGCTCCTCATATATTAAACTTGATATTTAAATAGAAATTTAGCATTATATTGATTTTTTTGTGAGCATATGGCTTATATATTTAATTAAATTAAGCAATTCAATTAATGGAAGCTTTTATTTAATCTTGCCATTAATATATGTTTTTATTAAAAAATATACTTTTAAACCTTTTTTTATTTTTTTTTAAGTTATGAATGATGCAATTTGACTGGTTCAGTTACATATCTTTGGCTTGTGACGTCAGTTGTAAAAAACCCAGCATACAATAAAAATAAATTTTGCATGATAATGGAAAAAACTGCCATCGTTGTATTATGTTATTTTTATCAATTTTAGTCAATAGCTAAGGTCGTACTTGAGCCAATAACCTTAAAGTAGGAGAAAAATTGGAATATTATTAACACGTGTCTACAGCACCTTGAAGTAACCTTTAACGGCCTTCAACTTTTTTTTTAAATAGTACAACCGAGTACAATAGTAGTAAACTGCATAACACACCTGTATTGCAATAAATTATACCGTTAACATACGCATATTTTGCTTTATCAATACCACGATAAATATGCTTTTTGAAAAGATAAAAGTTATTACATACTTATTTTGCATTGAATATACATACACTGAAAAGATTTATAGGCTAATTAATAGTTAACTTAGTTCCCTATTAATAAAAAAAGAAACTGTATAGGTGGTGATTTTCCACTTTACGTTACATTCATGTTGAGGTTCAAATTATAGCATGTACCAAATTTTTTTTAATGCTTTATTGACGTTTCGACAATAATTGGTAAATTACTAAAACAAAATACGTAATTGCTCTCAATAAAAAAGCGATTAAACATGATAAAATTGGACTTTTTATTTTATAATTGTATTTGCCAAGATAATTATATCATAATTATTTCATTATTACTTAGTATAGATAAGAAGGAAACATTTACAATAATAGAAGATGAACGGGATAAATTCGGTTAACGGAAATGCCGATAACGATGGGTATTTACCTTTACCACAAGGATTTGCTACTGCCGCCATACACGCTGCCCATGAACCGGAAAAATGGGAACATATGAGTGTGGTCCCCCCAATAGTCATGTCCACCACATTTAAACAACACAGTCCAGCAGTCCCAAAGGTAAAGACCTTGGTGTTGCTCTTTTAACATAATTAACTATGACAACACACAGATGCCGTAAGGTGCCTTTTTACCTTTTTTTGGTAGAGGGTGCTAAACACGATACTAAGTTGTTTGTAATATTCATTTTTTGTTACAATAATGTGTAGATATACGAGTATGGAAGATCGGGAAATCCTTCGCGAAATACTTTGGAAGAATGTTTAGCAGCAGTTGAAGGGGCCAAACATAGCAGCAGTTGAAGGGGCCAAGTATGCAATGTGCTTCGCTTCAGGCTTGGGAGCAACGAGCACACTTTTTGGACTCTTTAATTCCGGCGACCACATTATTTGCGGTGACGACTTGTATGGAGGAATTAGCAGACTTTTTAGGATAGTTGGCAAGCCTCTNTTATGAATGATGCAATTTGACTGGTTCAGTTACATATCTTTGGCTTGTGACGTCAGTTGTAAAAAACCCAGCATACAATAAAAATAAATTTTGCATGATAATGGAAAAAACTGCCATCGTTGTATTATGTTATTTTTATCAATTTTAGTCAATAGCTAAGGTCGTACTTGAGCCAATAACCTTAAAGTAGGAGAAAAATTGGAATATTATTAACACGTGTCTACAGCACCTTGAAGTAACCTTTAACGGCCTTCAACTTTTTTTTTAAATAGTACAACCGAGTACAATAGTAGTAAACTGCATAACACACCTGAATTGCAATAAATTATACCGTTAACATACGCATATTTTGCTTTATCAATACCACGATAAATATGCTTTTTCAAAAGATAAAAGTTATTACATACTTATTTTGCATTGAATATACATACACTGAAAAGATTTATAGACTAATTAATAGTTAACTTAGTTCCCTATTAATAAAAAAAGAAACTGTATAGGTGGTGATTTTCCACTTTACGTTACATTCATGTTGAGGTTCAAATTATAGCATGTACCAAATTTTTTTTAATGCTTTATTGACGTTTCGACAATAATTGGTAAATTACTAAAACAAAATACGTAATTGCTCTCAATAAAAAAGCGATTAAACTTTATAAAATTGGACTTTTTATTTTATAATTGTATTTGCCAAGATAATTATATCATAATTATTTCATTATTACTTAGTATAGATAAGAAGGAAACATTTACAATAATAGAAGATGAACGGGATAAATTCGGTTAACGGAAATGCCGATAACGATGGGTATTTACCTTTACCACAAGGATTTGCTACTGCCGCCATACACGCTGCCCATGAACCGGAAAAATGGGAACATATGAGTGTGGTCCCCCCAATAGTCATGTCCACCACATTTAAACAACACAGTCCAGCAGTCCCAAAGGTAAAGACCTTGGTGTTGCTCTTTTAACATAATTAACTATGACAACACACAGATGCCGTAAGGTGCCTTTTTACCTTTTTTTGGTAGAGGGTGCTAAACACGATACTAAGTTGTTTGTAATATTCATTTTTTGTTACAATAATGTGTAGATATACGAGTATGGAAGATCGGGAAATCCTTCGCGAAATACTTTGGAAGAATGCTTAGCAGCAGTTGAAGGGGCCAAGTATGCAATGTGCTTCGCTTCAGGCTTGGGAGCAACGAGCACACTTTTTGGACTCTTTAATTCCGGCGACCACATTATTTGCGGTGACGACTTGTATGGAGGAATTAGCAGACTTTTTAGGATAGTTGGCAAGCCTCTTGGTTTAGAAATTACCTTTGTAAATGCTACTAATTTAGAAGAAGTCGAAAAAGATGTTAAACCTAACACCAAGGTAATTTTATTGATTTATTGACATACGACTCAATCCAATGAACCACACTGTAATTAATCTTATTGTTAAATTATTGCTAATTAAGGTCAATATTTTTCACATTTGTTTGAATATTCTTTGAGCTTATAATATTCAGAAAATTTGATCCCTAAGTTCCTTATCTGCTTTATTATTTATCAAGCTATTATATTGCACTATTAAAAAAAAAAAAACAGAGATAAAGACATTCATAACTTTATAACGTTAATAATTGCGTTAACTTGCTGATAAAATAGAATATGTTATATAGCAACCAAGCAGATTTACTTATCAAATAATGAAACAAATAATTTTTACTAATAACCAATAACAACACTATTTCCGTTTTTGATACCATATCGACGCCTTTTTTGGAAAACATAACAAATTATGCAAAAATAAAAAATATTTAATATAGTTTTTATTTTTAGATGATATGGATTGAGACACCAACAAATCCAACTTTAAAAGTAATCGATATAGCAGCAGTTTCTAAAATTGCCAAAAAACACAAAATACTTCTAGCTGTTGACAATACATTTTTAACGCCGTATTTCCAAAGGCCTTTGGAGTTGGGGGCCGACTTATCAGTTTATTCCCTTACAAAATACATGAATGGTCACTCTGATATAGTAATGGGTGCCATTGTGGTAAACGATGAGGCCTTACATAACAAAATACGATTTTTACAAAACGGTATGTAA